TGCTGGGCCCGCCTGATGTCACCATGTTATTCTGTCACATTGCATTTAATTAGGGTTTCCTTTTATCAAGGTCTGTCAAGGGGAGAGTGCTCTGGTGTCCAATCATCCCGACTGTCACTGACACGCTGTTGTCAACCTTTTCTATTTTATTTTTTCTAACGACTGTTGCTCTCTGAACATTCACCACAGCTGTGACACGTCCCCACTCTAACTGAATGAAGTAAATAATACAATTTAACCTTGCCTCAACCTGCCAGCATGTACTTCAGTGTCACAATAACATACATTTTTTTAATCTCACACTTTTCTATTTACTCCTACAAAAAGACTGGAAGGACAAAAAACATTTACATGCATATCAATATTCATGAAGGGTATTTCATTACCCTCTTATGACTAATTGCGGGAGTTAACAGGGTGGGAATAAATGCTTGTTCATGTGTGCACAATTTAAAAGTTGATTGAGATTCATAAGGGAACTTGCACAGAGAAGACTCATCACTATATTGTTTGGCGTATTCAGCTTTCTTTTTACTTACTGCAGCCTATTAGTGTGGAATTCAAGCAAAGAACAGAAAGCCCATAGAGTTTAAATCCACACACAGGAAATTATGAATTTTAGATTTGCGGTTAATTTAGAGTAAATTAGACTATACAGGGTAATGAGCAGCATAGCATTCACAGACATGATGGCTCAACAGAGAAAGAAAAACCAACAACTATTCAAACTTCGTCAATGTAAAATAAGTTACAGAATGTATTACAGCACAGGAAACACTGATTGATTGGCTTTGGGTGCAGCACTGACTACTTACCCGTAAGGATGGAGTACACACAAGACTCGGCAAGCCAACCAGCCCATCCAGTCCAGAAAAGGGAAACAATGTCATTTTCACAAATATGCCTGTTGAAATCTGGTCACATGGAGGACTACAGTTCCACTCAACCCATTCTCACTCCCCAAGTCATCACATATGGACACATGGTCAAGACCCCTTGGCGTCAGTTTGTAACACTCTGGAAAAGCCCTTAGCATCATAGTCAACACACTGGGGGGAAGCCGTATATCGACATTTAAGAACGCGAAAAGCAAGTGTATAGTAAATAACAGAAGGAGGTGGTTGGGATGTGATAGGTGGTCAACATTGATTGTTTTTTGTGAAGTTTTGTGAAGTTACATACATTGTGAAGTTACATAAGTTAAGTACCGTAGTTACTTATAACCCAAACCATGACATTATCCTAAACCTAGCACCTAACCAAATTTCAAAGCAACGTAAAACACTAGTTTTATTTTGAAAATCTAACGTTGCATATCTATTGTTGCTAACTTGATCACAGAGTACCCGGGGCGTGAACAAGCAACACCAAGCGTCCATATGTCATCAGTTGTGAGTGACAATGTTTTGGTTCACTAGGCAGGACTGGTGAGCCTCTTCAGACAAAACTTCTGTCTCTGCACTCTTGAGTCAAATAAAGCAACTAACTGGGCAACTCTGGCGAGGTCTTGAGTGTGCACCTTGAGCTGTCACACGCACAAATGTTCATGCCCGACAGCTGAATTCTCACACATTTATGTCAGCCAGTAAGGGGCATTCACTACTCTGGGCGCTGCCTCTATGGCCAAAAAATGAAACCGATTTTGTAGGAAGTATTACATTAAGAAAAAATGCACCATACTACTTCTTGTGAGTTTTGATTGAAGAGCGCAAATCTTTTCACATTAACAATTTTGGAAAAATAAAACACCACAGTGAAGAGCTTGTAATGGAAAAGATGGATTAAAAACTAAATGACAGAACTCAAAATCTGGGTGTGTGCACTCCATTACCAGCAGCCAGGACGCAATCTGCTGTTGTGTGAGCATTTTGAAAAGACTCATTAAATGTGCAATAAAACATAAAATGATTTCCTCTGAAAGAAAATATGTCTGAAATTTGTAATAAAATTTGTAATGTTGACTCTCAGAGAATGTGCCCCTCGCAGGTTTCGAATAATTTTCAAATAACCTAATTATGTTCTAAGTCACCAGATATTCAACTTGAGTCTGACTCAAGTTGAACTCATAATGACTCCTGTCCACACTTGTGCTGTTCAGCAACAAAGGGGGAGAAAAACACATTGTGCCTTTAAGGGGTGGACACAATAAAAGCAAGAAGTTTAATTTAATGCAATTTAATGCCAATTCAGTAGGACGTGACGTGTATACTACATACATATACATATGTACCTGCAGCCCATTCAGGCATTCAGGTTGCACAGGAAGTCCAGCTCCTCCAGGATGGCACATCCATATGTGAGAGAGCCTAACAGGAGTGTCACTGTCAGAGCCCCCCTACAACATGACTTCCAGTGAGCTAATGGTGTGCATGTTTTAGACCACACTGTCAGAAACAGACTCCGTGAGGGTGCCATGAGGGCACAACGTCCTCGATCTGTGCTCACAGCCCAGCACCGTGCAGCTCCATTGGCATTCACCAGAGAACGCCAGCACTGACAGGTCCACCACTGATGCCCCGTTCTCTTCACAGATGAGAGCAGGTTCACACTGAGCACATGTGACAGACATGAAAGAGTCTGGAGACGCCGTTGTGAACATCATCCATCATGACTGGTGGATCACGGCGGTGGGTCACTGGTGGTCTGGGGAGGCATATCCTTAGAGGGTTGCACAGACATCCACGTGCTAGCCAACGGTACCCTGACTGCTGTTAGGTAACGTGACCTGACCTCCTTTGCTACCATCATACGGCCAGTAGAGGTCGCGGCCCAGCAATAAATGCAAATACAGGTCACAATAAGCTGCTGCATAATCGACCCATCCAAACATTTTTCTGGTGAGGACAGACAGAGACAGATGTAGGGAGTGAAAACTAAGCTGTTGTCAAGTCTCTGAAGATGGGAATGATGATAGAATTTGCCAGGTTCACAATCTGAAAAGCGGACAAATACGTATGTAGCCTGACAAAGTGGAGGCCTCTGCTTCTTACCTGATTAGTGTGCCTTATCATAAAGGGTTATAACAGGGCAGGACTCTCGGTCCCAATCAGAGCAATATCATTGGTTGACAAGACGGGTGGGTTTGTGGAGGTCACAGGAAAAATAACACACTATAATATTTGCGTGATCGCCACAGTGACACTGTTGCTTTTCTTGTGTCTAGCATTCACCTTCTGTACAAGCTTAGTCACTCTCATTGTCCTCAGGCTGAGTACAAGCTACAACCACATGTCATCACCTCTGTATTCGCCCGTTGTGCGTTCTACTGGAAAGTTGCTGCTGGACCGAGATATTGGATTAACTTAATTTGAACTTGATTTGCATGAATGCCTGTTATTATAAAACACACTACTACCACTGAGCAATCCAATTTGCGAACAATTATCCATTGAACAAGCACTGACTGCCCACCTTGTACCCAGGAATGAACAAGTTAAAACAATTTACAGAAGTTTCTCCCAGGATCAGTGCTCAGAAAAAACACTGCAATGCTAGTCATAATGTATTCTTCCATATCTTCATTCCTGGATGCCGCCCTGTAGAGGTAAATCCAGTGGACATGAGACAGCAGGGCAAAAGCAGAACAAGGTGGAGACATTGCATAGACAAATTTCTGAATGTCGTCAGCATAAAATATGCTTACATACAGGGGTACATAACAAACCAGAATGACAGTCATTTTATTGAGGGGAAGGTCAACACAAGGAGGCGTTCAAGTGCATAAATCTAAAAATTAAGGAGGTAAATTTGTTTAGTATTAGTATTTGTATAGTTTTTGTGGTACTTTTATTGTGTTCCCTTAGCTCCACTTTTTCTCTTTCTCTCGCTGTCTCTCTTTCTCCTGCTTTGTCCATTTTTTTCTCCACACTCCAGGCACTGACTGAACATTGTGTTGATGCCACCAATCGCATCAACCAATCCAGGCCCGCCTGCCGGATCGCTAAGTGTCTGCCTTGCTACATAAAGGGCACGCTACTTACTGCCTGACACCGAATGGTTCTATTGAATGTAAATCGCAAGGAGCAGAATTGAAAAAGAATGCGAGATGCAATTTCTATGGATACTGGGCCGAATTGAGTTAGCATCACTGTTGCTGCCTGCCTGCCCATTCTCCCTGGAATTCCAGGTGTCCCAAGCTAGCCAAAGCAGGCACACGTCTATCAAAATGTAGTGTGTAGGAAAAGCATACTGGTGGAAGAATAAATGGATAGATTTATGAATATCTGTAATCAGAGAGATAAAGTCAGAATTTGAATCAGCTTTATTGTATGTGAATACATACAAGGAATTTCACTCTGGTTTTTCATTGTGCTTAATGTACTTACATAGTAGTGGTATGTTTTTGCCCTTTGTTGTGAACATCTCTGTACATCTCATGTGGATTAATTGAAGACTGTTATTTTGGGGAATATAGGTTGGTATTTCTAGGGTTATATTTCTTATTTTTGTTATGTTCCTGCTTTGAGCAAACTAGTGCTTCCTTATAACTCTTACAGCTCTGTTTAAACACATTTGTTTCTAACATATGTCAAACGTGCGTGATGACGATAACTCTGTTTCAATAATGCACTACCACACTGGAGCATATAAGCCCCACCCTCGCTGTTGCAGAGAGGAGCAGCTCACTGTTCTGTCCTGTCTATTGCCCTGTGTCCAATATCTGTTATATAGTTAGTCTGTGTACTTCTGTGTTTTACCCATGTCTGCTATGAGTCTGTTTTCATTGTTGGTGTTAGTTGTGTTGTGATCTGTCTGCTTGTGTCTGAGTTAGTTTGTTTGTTGTTTCTGATCGGCTACATCTTGTGATATAACCTGTGTTGTGTCTGTTACCCCAGTAATCCCTCTGCATGTCAGTCTCTCTGTTTTCCCCTGCTCTCTCTCTGCCTGCCTGTGTCTCGTTAGTCTCATGTCTGTCACCTGTGTTGCTCTCGCCCTGCTCGTTAGTCCCCGTGTTTATATACCTGGTGTTTCTGTTTAGTGTTTGTCTGGTCATTGCGGTGTTCTGTTGTGTGTATATGCTCTGTCTCTTGTTGTCATGTTTAGCCTGCCTTATTAGTCGGGTCACCCTGTTTCCCTGGATTTTGGATTTCTGTTGGATCACCTTGTTTTTGGACTCTGTTTGTCAGCCACTCAAATGTAAGTGTTTTAACACTTTATTTAAAACAAACAAAGACATGCTATATAACATTAAACATTACAATAAGCTATTATTCCATTTTATATCCCTGATTCTAAATTGTGACTAAAGTGTATTTATAAAGAGGCAGAGTCGATGGTTATAATGGAACATGGTGGGAGATTCTTGGTGTACAGTGGTATATTACTATTAGTTATAAAACATTAAATCAAAAGGTCATAATGACTTATTAACTTTGCTATAGCGCCTAATGCATGTTTGTAAGTGATTATAACAACTGTTATGATGTCTTATGGAAGCATTATATTGTGTTATAAATATGTGCATAAGAAAGTGTTACCAAATTTACTTTTCCATGACATTCCAATATTCTGATATGCACCTGTATTTAGGAGGGAAAATGATCTCAAACTTGTCGAAAGTGCTTTGGTTATATGCAGCTGTAACCCAGCAGGTATTTTAGTCTGTGAACCCTACAGGGATTCAGCCAATGTAAAATAATTCCTCTTGACTTTTGCTGCTATGTTATGTTCTCTGTGCCTAAGGGAAAAAACTTAAATTGCTCAGTTGGATGAAAATCTAGTTTAACCTCCCATCCTTGTTTTCATCAAACTAATATATTTTTTTTAAAATACAGCTGGTTTTGAAAGTATTTAGGTGACCTTAGGTTATGGCATTTACTCAACACTTTAAAGGCCTGTGCAGTCTTTGTGTTCCAGCAATAAAGAAAATGGGGAAAAGAGAAAAATACCTCAACTTAAGTCACAAAGTACGATTATATATAGAGATAGACTATCATTCCATCAGCTGGTGACACAATCTAAAGTCTGGCCATGTACTTCTTCTCTCCTTTCCTCTCTTACAACCCGGCACAGTGCATTAAAAGGAGAGTTTTGGATGGGTGAAAGAGAAACAGAGACAGTCTAAATGAAAGTAGAGTCCTTTAGAGGGGGAATAATAAAAGAGAGTGGGAGGACAGAGAGTATAAACAAGTGAGCAGGCAGAGAGAGTGAGAGAGAGCAGAGAGAATGGGTCATTTTAGCTTGTGGTGCCACACCGGGAATCAATATTTAATTTCTTTGTCTGCTATGATAAGGATAGAGTGAAATCATTTTGAGATCTCAGTTTACCACTCAATACCACTTAATCTACGAAATCATATGTGGTACACATTGGACTGGGACATATAGTTGAGACTATTCTTACTTGAAAGAGGCTATGTTAGAGTTAAGAAAAAAAAAACATTTTTAAAATAATAAGACAAAATCCATGCAGGCCCACAGGGTGAGACAAGAACACATGGATGAGCAACCTCACAAAACAATCTCTGAAAGAATCCATGTTTTATTTCCCTTCCTTCATCTTTGTTAACATCCTATTTTCATGATCATAGTGGAATGACATCATTCCTCCCATTGTCCACAGAAAATATGTGGCCTTAACATTTTGTACACTCAGCATATGTCAGCATTATGACACATCGCATAAGGAGGGTGACAGAGAGTGGCAGTGTATTGTAATCAGAATTCAACCCACAGCAACATAAGTGCCAAATGACAAAAACAACTTTGCATTATGTGTGTGATGATAATAATAATTCCGTTCTGGAACGTGGTCTTTGGAAAAGCCATTTGCAGCTGTTGAACAGAAGAGCATGTCCCAGCCATCTAGAAATGAGTGACTGGGATATTAAAGAGATAAAGTGATAGAGGGAGGGAGAATAGGAGAGAGAGTCTCATAGACACAGAAGGAGTGGACCCATCTACAATTAGTGTTTTTCTCTCTCTTAATTGCTTTTACCTGACCTGAAAGGAAAACAAGTCAAGGAAAGATGATATAGTTCATATAGAGTTAAGATAAAACCACCATTCTGCTAAAACAATGTGACTCAAGATAAAAGATCAGATGGAAATCAGATGGCCCAAATTGTGGACTCCCAAATGAGCAATTTGAATGTGCAGTTGTTTGTATGCCAAATCAGTTTTGTGCAGTATAAACAATGGTCAACTTTGAAAACAAAATGTCTGTATTTTTAATCACTTTTTCCCACTGTGATTACACCAAGATCATGGACTGATGCATCATCTTTCCCAACTACAAACGGTTTACCCTGAACAAACTTATAAATGTATAAATAAAAACAATTTTGTTTTTGCTCCCATTCATCATGAGCTGAACTCAAAGATCTAAGACTTTCTCTATGTACACAAAATGCCTTTTTCTCTCAAATATTGTTCACAAATCTGTCAAAATCTGTGTTAGTGAGCACTTCTCCTTTGCCAAAATAATCCATCCACCTCACAGGTGTACCATATGAAGATTCTGATCTGCACAGGTGTGCCTTAGACTGGCCACAATAAAAGGCCACTCAAAAAATGTGCAGTTCCATCACACAGCACAATAACACAGATGTCGCAAGTTTTGAGGGAGTGTGCAATTGGCATGCTGACTGCTGGAATGTCCACCAGAGCTGTTGCCCGTGAATTGAGTGTTCATTTCTCTACCATAAGCCGTCTCCAAAGACTTTTCAGAGAATTTGGCAGTACATCCAACCGGCCTCACAACTGCCCATGTGTAACCACACCAGCCCAGGACCTCCACATCCAGCATCTTCCCCTCCAAGATCATCTGAGACCAGCCACCTGGACAGCTGCTGTAACAACCGGTTTGCATAGCCAAAGAATTTTTGCACAAACTGTCAGAAACCGTCTCAGGGAAGCTCGTCTGCATGCTCGTCGTCCTCATCGGGGTCTCGACCTGTCTGCAACTTCGCACGGCCATTGAAGAGGAGTGGACCAATATTCCACAGGACACAATCAACAACCTGAACAACTCTATGCGAAGGAGATGTGTTGCACTGTGTGAGGCAAATGGTGGGACACCCCCAATACAGTGAAACTGCACATTTTCGAGTGGCCTTTTATTGTGGCCAGCCTAAGGCACACCTGTGCAATACTCATGCTGTCTGACCAGCATCTTGATATGCCACACCTGAGAGGTGGATGGATTATCTCGCCAAAGGAGAAGTGCTCAATAACACAGATTTTGACAGATTTGTGAACAATGTTTGAGAGTAATAGGCCTTTTGTGCACATAGAGAAAGTCAGTTCAGCTAATGAAGAATGGGGGCAAAAACAAAAGTGTTGCATTTATAATTTTGTTCACTGTCTAGAAATGTATCATAACATTTGACTTTGAAACTGATCAATGATTCACTGACACGCGTTGGGGTCACACTAACAAATTAACAAATATTTGCATATATGTGCAGTTATATTAAAAAGCGTGATTAATGTTTCGTTGCCCAATGCATGCAAATAGGGGTGGACAAACTGCCAGAGGACCAAGTGTGAGCCTGCTCTGGCCAGTATATATTAGTTAGATTTGACTATTTGTATAGGTCAAATATGGGCCCAATATGGGCTGAGAATCAACTCCAGTTAGATGCATAGTCATTGATATAGGTTAGTTGCTATGCAACCGGCAGCACATATAAAAGCAACAGCCGGTAGCTCCTTCAAACTTCGCTACACTTTTGTTTTTCATCTATTTTTTTTCCAGCTTTATTGCTGAAACATTTCAGCAATAAAGCTTTCAGATTCAAAAAAAATGCACTCCGGAATGTTCTGGGTGTACATGTATGTATGATTCAGGACAATGTTGGGCCAAGCCATGCTGGCTAACTTGGCAGTGGATGCAAACAGTCAAACAAAGTATACATCTAATTTTCCCTTTTGAAATAATATAACTTTTTCACAGCGTTCAAACAATCTGACTTCACACAGTTAGTAATAACAGTAATGATTTCTCTGCTCTATTCAAGTTTCATTATAGTGTGACAGTGAGCCAGCATGCACAGTACAAGATTGAAGTAGCTAAATAGAATTCAGTCATCATTCATTTTATCACATATTTGTACAATGTTTTTTCCGCTCACAGTAAAGAAATGCTCTGTGATTTTTGCTGAGTGGGTTATGGTAAATACTCTGTATTTTTATAGCCCCCTTCTAGTCTTTGCGACCACTCAAGGCGCTTTACACTACTGTCACATTCACCAATTCACACACATCCATACACTGATGGCAGAGGCTAAGGTGCCAACTGCACATCAGAACGGGCTTCAATTTGGGGTTCAGTGTCTTGCCCAAGGACACTTCGGCATGCAAACTGGGGAAGCCGGGGACCGAAACCAGGACCTTCCGAATAGTGGACAACCCCTCTACCCTCTAAGCCGCAGCCTGGTTAAACAGAGAAACAGTGCACGTATCAAATATGTATGATCAACCCTAGTTAAGAGCAATTTTGTACATCCCAAAGCCACTATCTGTTATATACAAATTTGACTGTAATCTGTATTTAATTAATTTAGGGGCCTTCTAGTAGAAGTACAAATTAATCTTAAGAAGGTTCTGCCTATGTGACTACACCAGCCTCCACCAAGTACAAATAGTAAGTCTTCCATGGCCTCTGCAGACCAGGCAAGCTACAAACTACTATTGGAGGAATGCATCACACCACAGCGCCAGAGGAATATCACAGCCACAAATAATGACAGTGCTCGTTCTTCACCTAACACACATTTTCATATGCTTTCCTCTACTCATGTCCTGTCGTTGTGATATGAAACTGTGATGGAAGGGCCATCATGACGAAGTCACAAAATGCCTTCCCTGACAATACTGGCAATGGTAATTCAAACACATTGCAGACAGCGTACTATTTCAAACATTATGCCAAGTGTGCTGTTGAACAATCTTGGATGGCTGCACGGCCATAAAGTCAGAGACTCATTCTGATGATTTACTTTGAGCTTCTTTTTCATGGGTTTTATGTGGGAAAACATATAAATTAGACATATAAATGAGACTTTCTTGCATATTCCCTAATGCAGATGATGTTCCTATTTACCATTTACAGCGTGATTCTGAAGCCAGACTATTGTCATCCCTTCTTCGTGTTTGAAAGCCTGACATGGTGTCATAATTCAATTAAAATATCAGCCGTTATTTTTCCAGTCAGCACATACTCTAAGATCGAGTACAAGAGGACGATTTGTCACAGTGAATACAAATTGTGTTCAAAATCCAACATATTGGAAGCATGCAAAGATCTATGGCATTTCAGATACACTGTGTGGATGATTTAGATTATGCATGGTTATTGTTCTGGGGCAATTATATTACATATATAATTATATGTGATATTTTAGAATTGTTTCAGGTGGAAGAGGTTTGAGAATTCAGACCAGACCAGTGTGTACATGCAAAAATGTCTTGTCTCATCTTTATAGTGTGTTCTGGGTCCCACGGACACCATGATATGTTCTATTCTGGTATCCAGTTAATTGGATATGAGGTGTCATTACCAAAAATTTTTAATATGGATCGTGCATGATGGCAACATAACCTACATAAAAACTGAGCAACTCCATTCACTGATGAAGCCTTTCAAAAATTACAAAATTGTTGTTATTCATCTGTTTTTGGGGGGTGACTGATGAACCATACATAACATGAAGCAAGTGAGTGATAGATATCATTTGTTTTAAAAAAAAATGTATGTTGTTGTTTTATTTCAACATGTTGCCCTGCGATGGACTGGTGACCTGTCCAGAGTGTACCCGGCCTTTCGCCGGGTAGAAGCGGTAGAAGATGGATGGATGGATGGATGGCACGGGAAATGAGAATCGACAGTGCAGTACTATATATACGTCGGCAATGTTGAGGGAACTCTGCACTCTATATTTGTAATGCCCCAAAGTTGCCCTGTTTCTCAGTTTGAACCAGGCACTGAAAAAAAAACACACTTCTGCTCTAATCAGCCTTGACTCACTTGAAGGGATTACAGCTACGCCTTTTTATTCCTGAAAGGATTCAGCATCAGAATACTGTCAGCCTGCTGGACTCTATTGATGTCAATATGGTCGAGACAGGTGGGTGTGGGAGAGACAGAGTCAAACACAGAGATGAGTCAGACAGAAACACCAAGAAACAGGCGTTTATTTGAGAAAATACTAATATATTAATTTGTTCCTCAAAATGCACAGGTTAAATTTGTCACAATAGGGATGTACTGTGTTGTGTATCTACAAGAGACACTTATGTATAGGTACCAAATTCAGCTCTTGATTCATACTGAAAAAATTAAAGCCAGCATTGAGGCGGCTGGGAATGTGTTTCTTCAATATTTCTTTCTTCAATATTTCTTCCATCACCAGTATTGACTTAAAGTATGTGTGTTCATTCCACTGGTGGTTGGAAAACCTCTCTACTTGAATCAATCAGCTGTGAATGGGTTAGTATCCTGGATGACATAAGATTGTGTATACATCTACAAATACATGCTCCAGACCTATTAAACCTTTTGTCAATACAGCAAAGTAATTGCCTCACAAATTGTCATTTTCATCATGTAAGCATATTTGACGAGGGTTACATGAGTCAACAGAATGTAGTATCTTGGCCAAACAGTCACGATTATTAGATTTGAATTACACTGGATTATTAAAAGTCCCTGAAAACTTGGTTTTGAACTATAGGTTTTGCTGTATAAAATCAATATAAATCAAATGTATAAATAGGCAGCTGCCAAAGTTGTTTGTAGAAAAAACTTAATTTGATTTTTATAAAGAGGTGAGCCTGCCCATTTTTAACCAGTGAGAAAAACAAGGGTGAAAACTAAAATGACAATCTTGTAAACGGTTCTTAATTTGGCAGGTTAATCATGTTTGTTTAGGAACCAGGCGGACCAACATTACTCCCAACAACGTTTGTGAGGAATTTAACACTTCATGGACTGGAAAAACATCCTTGACAAAATATTTGGTAAAACCATTTAGTTTTATCAACTGTTTATTTCTAATCTACAGAGTTGGATAAGAGTATTTACATTAACTTAGTTCAATAAGAGAATAATTAGAATGTATGTGGCCTATAGTACAAACAAATACCTGACTAAATTAGCAGCATTCTCCATGAACAACATACAATAGGAGGCAGCATGGAGTCATGTCTGAAGACCTATTGACGGGACACATAATAGCATGTACTACAAACAATGTGTGTCCTGACACAGAGCTCAGAGGGGTTTAACAACACCACAGTAGCCAACTAAACTTATATAATGCACACAAAAACACGTACATCTGTACTCTCTCACGCACACAGACAAAGAAACATGTATTTGTAGATACAAACACACAGCTGCACAGGTTCATAGCCATTTCTTGGAGAGAGGGCAGATGAAGGATTAACCACTCTGGTCTTTTTTCAGTCTAACAATGTGCTGTCCACTGATGGCCATTTGTTTTCAAATGGAGGTACCTGCTACAAGCCACCCACACTCCGACTGGAGACTAGACACATACATCTCTGGAACAATACCCAATTAAAACACAAGCTCCTTTACAGTTGCGTCGTATTTTTCTAGCCACCAAAACTTCCCCCGTTTCTCTCTTTACCCCCTTGTTTCTCTTCCACTTGCCTTCTTATTGTACATCTACTCCCTATTGTCCCCACTCACAGTGTAAATACCCAACAAAAGAAATATCTAGTTGTATTATAATTGGTTCCCAAGCACCCATTCCAAAACTATCAGTGCAGCAGTATCTCCATTTGGAAGACAGGTCCTAGCAAAGTAAGATAAGTAGGAAGTATTACGGCAGTTGTGCAAACATGATTAACGACATGTTTCTAAATATTGGGAGGTAGGGAGCATGCTGGGGCAGCTCTGAGACTCTTGAGATGATGAATAGAGTGATAGAGTGCGCCAGAGATACAGCTGCCACCGAATGGACAATTAGGTACAAAGAGGTGAGATGAGACGGAAGGGTAAGTAAAAGTGAACACTGAGGAGTTCTTGGTTTGGTTAGTACAGCATTACTCTGTAGAGCTTTAATGATGCATCTGAACACTCTGCTGCTGGGACCATAAAGGTTCTGTACACAATACTAAAGTGGATATAACATTTGAGCTGCTATAAGAGAGTCTTCTACAAGGATGTGTCACAGCACCAAAAAGGTTCAGGATTTTGTAGTGATAAAAATCCAATGGTTTAAAGGTTCAGTGTGTAATATTTAGGAGGATCTATTGACAGAAATGCAATATAATATTCACAACTATCTTTTCAGTGGTGTATATATACCTTAGAATGAGCCATTTCTATTTACATACATTTTGGGTACCTCTTTCATGGACGTCACCATGTTGCGCCATTTTTCTACTGTACCACAAATGGACAAACTGCTCTACAGAGTGTGTTTCGTCACCACGTTGAATACATATGAAGAAGAAGAAGAAGTAGTAGCAGTAGTAGTAGTACTAGCAGTAGTCGTCTCATTTGTTAAAAGTAAGAAGAAAAGTGACATTTGGACAAATGGAGTACCACGCGAAGCCACCGTAGTTTCTCCTACGAGCTTGGAAAGGGTGGCTGACGGTGCATTCATTGGGTGGCGGACAGAGGTGGAAAGTAACAAATTACTCACATTAACGTAATTGAGTAGCTTTTGAAGTAGTTTTTTTTGAATGTGTAATTTTACTTTTACTTAAGTATGTTTTATTTAAAGTATTGTACTTTGCTACATTTTCAATCATATCCGTTACTGAGTAAAAAAAAAGTGCAAGGGAAAACGTGCGACCACTTTGGCATCAAGTGCAAGAGAATAACAGTTTTATGATGCAGTGTAAACTGTGAAAAAAAATGCTGTATTAAGTTCCTGCTAATGCAAACTCAACATTTCCTGCTGCTGCAGCTTCACAATAAAAGCATTTAGCTGGCGAGTTGACTTTTCACAATAAAAGCTGACCGCTGTCATATAGAGCGCTGCAATGCGTCAACACGACAAGACATCCGTCATTTTCAACAATTTTCTGACAGTGGACCAAATATAGCAGCGCAGTCTGCTGTTGGTAACCAACTCCTTTCACTTTCGCTGTTCGCAGACTCATGTTGTGTGCAGCATAAAGTCAGATCATGACTGCTCACATAATTGTGGAAAATACCAATAACTGCCCGACAATAGTTTGTTTAGCTGCCAAAGACTTTTGTGCCCTGTGTTATTAAAAGACATCTGCTGTTACCAACAGTAACTACAAGTGTCTCATGCACATTAATGGGCAGCTGCATAATAGCATCAAAACAGGTTAATTAATACCATTCAGAGTTACATTTACGATTAGGCTACAGATTTTAACCATTGTTCCTCAGTTAACTCCTTGGCTGCGGTCTGAGAGCATTTTCTAGTTAAGTAGGCCTATGTAGATTTATCATTATAGATTTAGGCCCATCATGTTTTTAAAGGAGTCTGTTCACATTGATATTAAGCGAATAAAAACGTTGATTTTGTGAAAGTTAAAAAATATTAAACAGTAATATGGCAATTGACAGTCCGGCCCCCACAGTGTCTGCTTAGAACAAATGTAGTCGAGGACCCCTGATGTAGAGGTCAGTTAAATAATAGCCTACTTCCATTGGTGATTAAAATAGTTAAAAAGTTCATAGTTTGGTAAGATGCTTTACTCCAAATAGCCAAAAAGACATCGGTGCATGACAATGTTTGTTGGCATTGTAAATAGGGATATGACTTCATATTCAGTGTAGTGTTTCCCGTTTTCCCAGTGCAGCGCGGCCTGCCATAGTAACCTATAATCTGTTCCGCCACAATTTTCCTAATAAGCGAAAACATTCTCAAACTTCTCATTAAATGTCGTTATTTTTTGCCACTGATTTGGCAAAGTATCTGTCAAACAAACTAATACTGGAAGCGCCATATAGCTTTATTCTGTTGTTTTAACATTTAGTTTGTCTGCGTGTTGTTTGTTTGCTCTGATAATGCTAATCCAAGACATCTTTGTAGTACTGTCCATGTTGATTCCACATTCCCACCTAAGAGCACACAAATACACCTGAAGTCTGAAGAACGACTTCACAACTAGGTAGATGGGATGAGGAGTATCTGAATGCACCGTAAGCAATTGGTTGCAATCTGCAACCCTCACCACTAGATGCCACTAAAACTCACACGCTGAACCTTTAACTTACAAAAATGTCTCTGTTTAACACAAAATATTGTTTACATAATTTAATCACTCATTGTTTCTGCAGCGGATGAGCCATTTTCTGGTTCTATGGAGGGAGACGAATGTATAAAGTGACTTTGACTCAGGTACAGACTACAACAGACCTAGTGTGTCATCAGAAGGGCCACACATGAGGGCAATAAACTTATACAAAAATAATTCTGGTTTATTTGAACTGGGGTCCTTTTTTTTTAATGTAATTCCCATCATTTCTATTGGCAATAATAACATTGTTGAGTTAGGGGACGTCTAAATTTTTTTCAGTGATCCGAATAGGTCTGGAATTGTGCTCATTGATGGCTGTTTCCCCAGTTGAAGGCAAAACTGAGCCAAGGGGTATGTTTCCATCTTCCTGCTTTATGCGCACACTGTAAGATGAAAAAAGGGCAAAGACTTGTAATTGACAAAAAATACTTGAAATATTTCATAAAAGCTTGGCTGAGTTGGAAAAGATTGTATATCAGTAGAAGCAGTATGCGACGCTGTGCAATTAGAACAGTTTTAGCATGTGATTTTAAGGTTCAGTGTGTAATATTTCTCTGTCATCATGGCGTTCTTCTTCTACTTGTATAATTCCGGTAGTTTAGACGCCCGTCACTACATTGAATATGTACAAAGAAGAAGAAGAAGAGGAAACAATAATATGCAGTCTCTGAGTAGTCCTCTGGTTTATTAGAAGTAAGAAGAGAAGTGACATTTGGACAAATGAACGAGCACATGTGTTATTTAGCACGGGAGTTGACAGCCTGCAGGTCTTTATACCATGAAGCCAGACTGGGACAGATACAAACAGCTGATGGTAGAAATCACGGATGTGGATTTTCCCAGATGGAAGGCTATAATGTGGGACATATTTTTTACATATGTTGTGCTGAAGTTGTCTGTTTCCTGCTGGACAGGTACTTAACTTAAGTTTGTCAGACCTTGCGTTTACAATGCCTTTGTAAAATTCATGTATTATGTGGTTTATAATGGACTGTGGTGCAGAAACAGTGAGCTTACATTGTCCCGTTATCTGTCAGTGGTCATACTTGATGCACTAGATTTGTGATTTTTGAGATGTTCTTTCTTTACTTTGGTATGTTAGTCCAGATGAACC